TCGAATGGGCATGCAGATCTCATGCAGCAATGAGCCCCTCCTATTCCAGACATACCTCACCGATAATAGGAGAACATGAGAACAGCAGCATGTAAACCGATTCAAAAGCTGTGCAAGGAAAGAATAGTGCTTCTCTGCGGCCTAACGACTCGCGGAATATTGCGGGATTTGTGCCGAGACAAACGAAAACTGAATGCTTGGTGTCATTACAAAGCGTATAAAAAACTGTGGAAGAAGCAATAAACACATCTATGACTACTTTTGCTTGTGCAACAAGAAACTGACACGTTTCTCAGGATGAAACTCATTTGATTAAAGCATTTGATTAAAGAGAAATCGATAAACTTTGTGGAACATGGGTGCCAAAGTATGTTGAGTTGCATTATCGGTTGTGTTTCTTTGTGGGCCAACAAAGATGTTGCAAACCTTCTGTGTGAACGTCTGGAGTCTGGTACTGATGAGTTGGACTCGCAATGTCTACGAATCCAGACTTTTGTTATCTCACATCATCACTCCACGTCCAATTCATTCTTCTTACATCTTGTTGATATCTCTAGCAGCTGGTCAAGACCTTGTTAGTGGGTTGTTGTCATAATGCTTGTTCCCGAAACTGACGTTAATACGGCTATAGTTGCGTGCCGCTTCATGTGGCCAAAGAAAATCAGGCTGACAGATACATACCAGCAAACGCAGGAGTTTTGGGATGCACGCGTGAATTCCTAAGAAGGGTACCAGCGCGCAGACTTTTCAGCAACAGCTGTCCGAAGAACTGTCGCTGCTGCTGCTACTGCTGCTACTGCTGCTGCTCTGGACTCGTGGTGGGAATACAGGATGTCCTGCTGCTGCTGCGGGCTCGAGCCCCGTGTCAGTGCCATGAAGCGACGCGCACACATATTCCGCTTTCAGCTGTCCAACTCCGGCCCGCCAGTAATACATTATTTATAGTCTTCATACACAGTCTTTACGCAATATAGCTTGTGCTGGCATGGGCCAGGGTCTTCTACGGCAGGTTGAGTTGAATTTTTGCTAGCGCCCAGTTAGCGCGGATCTAGCGCGCTGGCCTCTCTTACAAATACCCAAAAATGACCTCGCTGCAAGCTCCAATCAGGAGGCACAAAGGCATCGCGGCAGAGACCTCCTAAAGACACCTACAATTACTCCCATGACGACAGCAACACGTGCTGTTCAGCTACTCTAATGCCATTGGGCCTTGAGGGTTAGGGTACGGGATATAAAAGACAGCTTCAGCTTGAGCATACGATATCATGCATTTCGAATCATACCTAGCGCGAATCTAGCGATTTTCCTAGCGCCACCTTCGGTAATCAGTAGCTCTACTTACGTGCCGCCTCATAGCGAAGAGCAGAAGAGATACTCCCTCAATACATTAGTATCAATGTAAATAATTCTACCCACACGCGAATTTAGAACGCAGCCCTAGTCTTGAAAGCACGTATCGCATCGTGTGGTCTTGTCTGCTGATGCCGAGTTCACTTCCAGGAACGTGTTGATTTCGCTGATGTCGTGCCGACGGAATCTATTGCAGGAAACCTGTATTTGGGAATCGGTGCTGCAGCAGTGGTCTGTCTTGCGTTCAAGTGGTGCAACTTCCTTTACCCCTTAGTTATTGGCAATCTTAATGTGCATTCTTTATGCCCATCTTCACTAGCGACCAAGTTTCGGCAATGTGGACGCAAGAACCTAAGAGCTTCCTTCTGCTTGCAACTTTTGTCGACCAAATGACGATACCACTCACGACCTGCCCGAACTCAAGCTCGGCATTTCCTCATGGTCTACATTTGATATACCTGTTCAAACATGGCACTGAAAGAAGCAAAACATCTAAAGAAAGATGTTTAGAGAAGCAGTTACATGTCGAACTCAACAAAAAGGTGTGCAAGGAATGTGCCTTTCGGCGATGAGGACGGCAGCGAAAGGCTCGAAGGCCATCGCCTCGTTGGCTAGTCTTTCTTCAACTCTGGGCCTCACGACAGCTTAAACTAAATAAGCACCTCTACAAGGGCCTCTGAAAGGAGTCAGTTTCACAGAGTCCCCATCCTTCTGCTTGACCGGACCAGGGCCTTGTCGCAAAACAACGAACCTTGAGCTTCCCGGACTGCTCAGTAGCCACTTAGCCAACGTTGGATTCGAAACAGCATAACCCGAGTTCCGAGTCTGCTGTACCCAACTGCTGAAATCGCACCTGCACCAGCTCCGACGCACTCGCCAGTGATCGCACCGGCGCCGTGGTCATTCGCTGGCAAGCTTTGGCGCTTGGAGTTTCAGGCACGAAAGGCTTAGGGCTCGGGGCAAACATCGTTGAAGATCAGAGCTTGCTGCCATGCTTGCTAGCACCTGCGGAATGTCCGGGCCATTCTTGGAGGCTGGCTTCTGGCTTGGCCGTCACCCCTTCAGCATTATGTAGATCTGTGAAGGAGACCACCTGCCCCAGCGAGAATGCGGCCAAAATCCCAAGTTCTGGAAGAGGGGCCACCAATTTATCGGACAACCTCGAACCTCGAATTGGACACTGACAGCCCTGCAAAAAGATCCCTGCCACTCTTGGCGCTGCCCACTCTTCCTTTTTGACATGTCCCGTGCTGCCCCGACCTTGGCATATCTGAGGAAGCCTTCTTCTGTCCGCTGACCCCTCGCGACGGTGCTTGGATCGAAGAGGTTGCATCAAACCAGTCGCAAAGCTCTGCCTGGCCTTAGCCCTCCAAAGCGTAGCCGCAAGCACAAGCATCTCGAATCTCCCCGAAAACAGACACAGAGACCACAAGTCCAAATCGTGGCTCTCGTCAGTTCCTCAATCATGGCTCTGTCTTCTCTTGCGTGAATTCTTTCTCTGCATCGTCTCCACTGCATGACAGTCTCCCAAAATGGATCCTGCTATTGTTGGGCGAGGAGAAGCTGAAGTTGGATGCAAAACATCAACAATACAAGTCACAACGGTTGCAAGCATAGCCCGAACTCCGGGGTAAGTGCATCACGCACTCGCACACGAGGCCTGAAGTTCTGCGGGGCCCGGTCCGCCTTGCAAAGATCCACGAAACTCAAAACTCAGAGCAAAATTCTTTGCAGCCTCAGCCTACACTACAGACTGAATCGAAGAACTCGCAAGTCACTGCCCCGTCTATTCGGTATTCATCTACACAAACACAGTCCATTATGAGTTCAACGGGCCCAAGAACCACTTTCAGCCTCTTTTTGTACCATGCGGGAGTGACGATACGGCGACATGAGTATGCTGGCAGGGCTGGCCATCCGTCAGGTATTCCTCGTCAGGAACTGGCGAGGAAGTCTTCGCTGGCCTATACCATTGGAACGGTTGTGGCCGTGATGCCCTCGATCAGCATCATGCAACTGCCAGCCAGAGGTGAAAGACAAGCGCGCCAGGGACGGTCAGGTGCTGGTGCTTCGCTTTTCCCATCTTGAAGCGCTTGGCTTGGCCAGGAGATCCTCGACTCAGGCACCACGGTCATCGCTTTGAGTCGAGATCAGAAAGGATGGGGAGCTAGAGCTGCGCTCTGACCATTCCAAATTACCGTAACTGAAGGCTCTTCAAGATTCGTCGCTCTCTCCCTGCCACGCAGCCCACGCGGAGGCCTGCCTGCGAGGATCCACGACTCTCACAACTGAGTTGATCTAATAAGATTCCAGGCATCAGTCAGTGCCTTCGGTTCCTACTGCACTCTGACATATCCGCTTCCATTGCATTGGGTCGCCAGCAGCACCGTGCTGAACTTGGGCATTGCGTGACAATGGAAGTGCCAAACATATGCGATGCGCAGACTTCAGTCACGCTGGCAGCGGCTGGCCATCCATCAGATGCTCCTCATCGTCGAACAACCAGATTTTAGGTGGCTTTCCGTGGCAAGCTCTTCCCCTCATCACCTCGTTGTAGATCTGCCTATACCAAATGTTTCTACTGGTGCCCAGGGAGGTGTTCAGTCCTGAATCCAGATGCCATTCCAGGGTGATCAAGTCAACGATGCTATTGCAAAAGAGCTGTTTGTCAATGAGGGATCGTAGAAGCTCAAACTCGCCTCCTTCAATATCCAGCTTCATCAATCGCTTCCCTGGTGGAGCATGGTCCTTCAAGAGCTGCAAGAATTTGCTGAAATCCAATGCTGCCACCGTGACCGTCTTGTTCCCCGGTTTTCTGTAGTTTGAGTAGCGAAAAAGGCTGAAGCCCCAGTCGCTGTCGGAGCCCTCGTTATTGTTGAAGAAGACCAGCTGGCCAGGGTCACTGCCACTAACAGCCACATTAAATAGCCTCACTCGCCAGCCTTTTGCCGAGTAGGCCCGTTCAATTTCGCGAAGACGATCCCTCCACCTGTCCAGTGACTAGTTCATCCGGACAGGCGTGCGTGTTTCTTGATTGGTGGCAGAGCTATAATGCAGCTACAACCCAAGGATTCAAGCATTGTGTGCCAAAGGCTGTGACGGTTAAGATGATATGGCCGGAACAGGGGCGGAAAACGGGAACGATGCCCTGAATCCTGAACTGAATCACCTGCCTCGGATTTGCTTCAAAGGCGAAGGCACAGATTCCTGTGTGGCGCGAAGGTTTTGCGCGATACGCAGCTCTGCCAAAGAATTCATTGAATACTTTCAGGTACTTGGCTCCCTTGTACTTCAGAGGCTCGAAAAGCTTCCGGACATGGGTCGCCCGATTTGCACCCAAGTCCAGGAAAATCTTCGTGCAGTTGAAGAAATCTTCCGGACCGATACCTCCAAGCGGTGAGTCCACATGCAGATGCCGCTGGTGTTGGCTGGCCGGAGAGTCCAGACTGGGCCTTCCCAAAGCGAGAAGGGAAAGAGCCACGCTCGCTGCAAGAAGCTTCGACATTCGGCAGAGGCAGTCGCAGGGCGTAGCTTCCGCTGCACTCAAACGTCTCCCATTAGCAGAGTCGGTCAACGGATCTATGGAAATGACAGCCTACAGGAAGGGTACATAATGTGTCTTTCTGGCTAAGTCTTCGTGGTTCTGCCCTTGATGCCGCCTTTGATCAGAAGCACGCAACTGGATGAAGGACAAGCGCGCGCAGGGACGGTCAGGTGCTGGTGCTTCGCTTTTCCCATCTTGAAGCGCTTGGCTTGGCCAGGAGATCCTCGACTCAGGCACCACGGTCATCGCTTTGAGTCGAGATCAGAAAGGATGGGGAGCTAGAGCTGCGCTCTGACCATTCCAAATTACCGTAACTGGAGGCTCTTCAAGATTGGCCTTTCTGAACCCGAGCTGGCCGTGGAGGGAGGACAGCAACAAACCATAATCTCTCCAGGCTTGGCACGTGCCCTCCGCAATCGAGTTGAAAGAGCTGGTGAAGTGCAAGCATTGCTGTACAGCTTCCTCTCGAAACCCTGCACCTTCTCACCCTCACCACAGGATGACCTGAAAGAGGACACCCCTACAGTACTGCCCCTACTCCTCGGGCACAAACATTCCATCGTCAGAGTACGGCCAGCCATCATCACGGATCTCTGGGGCACGTCTTCGGGCCTGCCCGCATGATGCGTGTTCAGTGTGCTTCCGGCTTCTTCTCTTCTTCCACTGCAGCTGCTACAAGCTGATGCATCCTTTTAGCTCCAGAGAGTCCTTCTAAGACTTCCGACTATTTGGGCTGAATGGTTTCCGATGACTGCTGCACAAATCCTCTGCGGGATCTCGAAGACCGATCACATCGTCCATGCCGTGCAGCCTCTTCCTGAGCGATGAGGCTTGCTTCGGTTCTGGGGCCTTGGGTACCTGAATGGGAGAGTCCCAGTGGCTCCATGTAGTCCGGAGTCTCGCGCTGCAAGGCTCGGTAGCGCTCGATGTTGGCCTTTGCACTTTGCGCTCGAGGTCTCAATCAGTGTGCAGTGTTCGGGGTTAAGTTGGATTGGTTAACGCGATGTCCAGGAAAGATCGGATTCATGCCCGGCAGGCTTCTCCGACACTGCGTCAGTTACATGCACTCGGCCTTGCCATCTGGTGTCGATTCGTCGCTCCAGCGGCACTCCTGGATCGGGGCCCGGAACAGCAGTTGCTTCGGGCGAACATGTCTGCCACTTGTAAGATCTTGTGAGAGCTGTTTGAGCCCAAACCCCTGGACTCCAGACGTGCGAAGGCGGGGGCACTGCGCTCGTAGATCCGCACGAAGTGACCAATGAAGCGTGCGTAGAAGTTCCTCGCTGGGAATCATGCACGCTGGCGCGAATCATTTCGTGTCCTTGAAAATGTTGTGCCGAGATTCTCAAAGTGGACTTGGAGCTTGGTCCTCTCGCCGCCCGACGGCCCGAAGAGACCAACCTGCCGCCACGATCTGTGCTCATCGTTGGGGCAGGATTCTGTCTTTGGGGCCCTCGGCCTCACGACAGGCCCAGAAGTGGAGCCGCATCCATACCCGGCTGTCATCCAGCTTGAAGTGATCTCCGACCTGGCAGAGGCCCCCACGTTGGTGCCATTGAACGGGAGATCCGCCCACCGGAGGCCAGGAGCGGCCTGGTGCATGGGGCAGCCTGCTCGCTTGGGGCAGTGCCACCCCGCGAAGTGCGCAGAGGAGCGGTCGTGCACCAAGAAGTCCTCGCTGACAGGGGCGTTTTTTTCATACTTTTTAGATGTCGTCAAAGTCAGCTAACTGCACTGTGGGCCCTCCTCCAGCTCCAGAGCACCCTTGTGGTTCGGATACATGATCTGCTGCTTCAGAGTTGCCTTGCCCGGTCAAACACAGCAGTCACTCAGGAGCCAACGTGCATCAGCACAGTTCACCACCTTCTCAACTCAAGCCCTTCATTGACTGCATCGGCTGGTCTTCACGGACGGAGGGGTCTTCATGTCAACGTCAACTTGGCATAAGACGACCGGAAGTCTGCGCACCTCGTTCCGCTTGCGGCTGCCACGTTCCCTTGTCCATGGCTGCTCCGGGGCACCCATCTTCTCGGCTACCTAAGTTTCCGAACTCATTCTGGGAAAGCAGTCCTGGGGCCGCGACAGCAAGCAGTATACTTATAGTCGAACAGAGGGTCACATGGAAGCCATCTGGCAAGTTCGCCACGGACTGTCTTTATCGGTCCAGGGACCCAGTTCGCCAGCCGTGGTGCATGATGGCTCACCTCTGCAGATGCCACATGTGCCTGCACCTTCGCTCAGGCGCAAGGCACAGCTTCGCCTCCGTCGAGGCGAAGAAGGGCTCCAAGTGCGGATTCGCGAAGACCTGCACTCTCACACGCTCCGCATCGCTCCGGCGTGACGCTCCGCGGCGTGACGCTCCAGAACCTTGGTGTAGAAGCAGGTCGTCATCTCCAGTAGTCGCGGCACGCCTCCCCCAGAAAATAACAGTCGCATCATTGGACTGCACGAACCAGACAACAAAGACATGGAGGAACAAGGAACGGCCAGTGTCGAGACGAGCCTCCGATTTCCTTCAGCAGCTTCCTTGAGAAATCGTTGGGCTTGTGGCTGTTCTCCTCGGCGGGGTACTAGCCTGTTACACATTGGAATTTTGCGCTCGTGCTTGCCTATCCCGTCGTTGACTCTGTGTTCAAACTTTGCTCTTGAAGCAGTCCTCGATCTTCATCACCGGGTACTGTTTGCCTTTGCTTGCGGCTGCTCCAGCTGTTCCTCTGCATTCTTCAGGTGGGCACGGTGCAAGCCGAAAGCTCGGCCCAGGCTCGGCCCTGCCTCCTGTGCCGGGGCCTGGGCTGCTCGCCCCATCCTGCCCTGCAAAGGCGCACATCCCCATGGCCGCACGATGGATCTGTCGGAACCCAATGGCTGCGACCGGGAGGTCTGAGAAGGCGCTTTGGCTCCCAGGAGCAGAGTGGATCTTTGGGGCAAACACGGACTGGAGCTGCAAACGTGACTCCAGGATGCTCCAGGTTTCTAGCTTTACCCAAGTCCCTTGCGGAGATCCGGCCTCCGGGAAGAAGAGCTTGATCGTCGGATAACCCTGAACCTCGAACTTCTGGCAGAGGGTCTGGCATGCAGGGATACGAAGGATTGTCTTTGAGGGTACGGGAGGCTTGGTGGCTTCTTGTATCTTAACACTTTGACTCTGACGAACCAACAAACTCCTTGTTTGAACGACTGCTTGGTTCCTGCTTCGGGGTTCAAAACAATGGGGAGCTTTGGCTGAAAGTGCGCCCACTGATGCATAGCATACAGAGGTTGACTTGCATCCGAGCTGGAAGGAAGTCCAAGATTCATTCAGCCAGCTAGTCCTCGCATACGTTCATCAATCATCCCACCCTTGCACAGCAGCAGGCTTTCCAGAGTCCATCGCACTCGGGCCTTTTCTTGGCACATGCAGCCTTGGCTTCGAAGGCCTCTTTGGGCCCAAGCGAAAGCCGGGCAAAGTGCCAGCTCAGCCTCAGTCCTCCAGGTATTTCGCTGCTTCGGCTGCGGCAGCCGCCAGAGCCGCCTTGCGCCGCGCCTGTTCCCCGAGATCTTCTGGAAACCGCTCAAGAAAAGGGAGCACAGAGGGCCTCCTCACGGATGCGCGAGATCATGACGATGGTGTTTTTCCTTCCACTCAACGAAAGGATCGGAAAACATCAAAACCATCCAAAACAGGTCGTCATTTTGTACTACAGGTCACATGTGAGTCTACTGTGTGACCCGCCTTGAAACGTGGCAAGCAAGCAAAGCGCACAAGGCAACGTGAAGAGCTACGACCAGTTTCATCTGCTCATCTCTGCAAAGCCAAGGAACAACGAATTGAAACCTTGCTCTGCAGCGATGTCATACGCGGTCTCTTCCAGGTCGTTGCTGGCACCAGACAGGTTCATGATATTTGTCAATGGCTTTATGTGGCACCACTGTTCTACATGCCTCAGATGGTTCCTGAACGTCTCTGCCTCGACTATGCAGACAGAGAGCTCGACATTTTCCTGTATGCATCGCGAAGCCTGATGTCCACATCCACATCTTCCTGAAGCAACCAGGCAACCAGGTCCTGCTGAGCCTGAGCTGCATACACTCAGTCCGCTGTCTGACAACACTTCTGTCTCGCACCGTCTGGGCCGGGGGCTGCGGCCAGAGCCAGCATCAACGCCGTGTTCCTGGAAGTAGGCTGAAATCTACGGCTACGCCGAGTCGCAGGGTCAAGTCGAGTGGTGTGTCCGAATTACGACGCACGGATTCCATCACATGTATTGAGCAGAGATGCCCGTTCTTCTCGACACCATTCAGGTCTGCCTGGCGCCTGTCGACAAAGCTCGCCGCTGAGCTTCACATATCGACACCAAAACCAAGCGTCGAGGTCCCAAACACTTCGCTGGGGAGGCCGGATGAGCTGTTTGGCGGCCATGGTGTTCCCCCTTACAGCGGCAATCATCAGCGCCGAGATGCCTTCGGCAAGGGTACGCCATGACAGAATGGGCACGAAAAACTTCGAGTGCTGCCAAGCGTGAACCTTCCGAGGTCGTTTGCTGAGGCGTGGCGTGCTTCCGCAGTAGAAACTTCACCACCTCCTAGTGAAAGCCACAGGCAGAGGATTCTAGCCCCAGAAGTTTGGATGCAGTTGCTCCTCTCTCTACGTCTCTATATACTTGGCTCTTCTTCTGCTCCTGTTTCCCTCGCTCTGCGGCGTAGAAAAGCGCCGTCCACTGCCGCTTGTCCTGCATGCCAAACGCGAGTACAAGTTAATAAAACGACTTAGTGAGCGACAGGAGAGCGGGTGAGAGAAAGAGAGTGTGCCTTGTTCAGTTGGGACTGACCCGCTGCTTGTCGCCAGCTGTTGAACTCACGAAGCTTCGAGCAAGCAAATGTGTGCGCCTCTGCAATGCTGGCTTTGCAACAACCTCGAATGTCCTGCAACTTGATGTCTGCACGGGCCTGTGCACTGCCACATCTGTGGAAATGTAACTCTG